ACAAAATATTCAGTATCTTCTGCATGTACCCAATTGTTACTCATATATTTCACCATATCATTTTTTATTTCACTTTTGACTTTGTCTAGTTGATATGAAAACAGGATTTTCCAGCTCTCCATCAACCAAGAGTAACCTTTATGGAATTAGTCAATATATAGTTTTGCAATATAAGCAGTCATTTCCATAAATCGGAAGCATTTTAACACAAATGAATGTCCTTTGCTGCGAGCCCTTTAACCCACAGAGAATGAATCTCAGCCTGTCATTCATCTAATATACTGTCCAAAAATATGCCCACCATATTTGCAAAATGCTCAAAACAAGGAGAGATTGTGGTTGCATAACATGTCTGTTTTGCAATCACATCAAAGCTAATAACTGCCAGCATCTATTGGCAAGCATTTTATTGTTTTTATACATCAAGGACAAATATAAAAGATTCACATTGTTACTTACTTATTGAATCACCTTCTTAATATAAAAATTATCAAAGAATGTTAAGCAAAAACTCAAGAATAATCTATTGAAATTTTTAAAAATGTCAGTTTTTACAAGATTAAGAAAATCTGAGGTAATATAAAGAAATCTATTAAATTGATAATTAAGAGTTCATATTGTGTAGATTCATAATCTTCATATAAGAAGTAATTATTTAAATATGTGTAAATTGATATACGACAGAAATATGAGAAATATTTATAAACTAGTTTAAAGCTCACAATAAATATATTTAAAATAATTATTGTTTAAATTTGATAATATAATAATGTTTTAATAAAAATTTTAGTTTGATGATGATAAATTATCCTGTTTTAGATTACTTCTAACAGATTTAAAATTAGGCAATTACAGTAGAGCCTCGAAAACTCGGCCACACCCTGGCAGGGCAAAAAAATCCTTAGTTAATTAATTTTCATTATAGACAGCTTTATAAAAGTATAAAAGCTCTCGTAAAGTATTTTTCTGAGGTCTGTTTTATCAGGTAAATTACTGTACACAGTGTATTCATTAATTTTCATTTTCATGTAGTAAAGGCTCTATGCCTTCATAAAAGACCTACTTTTCCTTTGTTTAAGGGCATTTGGGCAGTTTATTCTCTATTGTATTCTCAAGTAAACAATACATACAAGTACAGTACAGTATTTTCTGAGGAAACACGCATACTTATCCTTTTTTAACCCCATTCCCGATAACCCGGCATTTTCACAAACTCGGCCACCCTTCGGTCCACATTAGGCCGAGTTTTCGAGGTTCTACTGTATNGAGAAATTTAATGTTAAAATAAAAAATCTGATTAATCTGTGAATTATATTAGTTTAATCACTTTTAATTTAAAATTGTATATTAGTGAGGTTGCGGCTGATGTTTTCATCTCTAAAATGTGAATGTCGGCAGCGACCTCGCTATTAACTTACAGTAATAATAGAGGAGGATAATTTGGAAAATTTTATGAAAGTTTAGTATCAGAATGCTAACAGTGTTATGAATAAGATTAAAAAATACTCTTAATGTATATCTAATTATTATTGCTCTTATGTGTTACAACTATCTTTATTGATTTTTAAACAAATACTAAAATGAATATGTAATTTATTAAGTCTGTGATCAAAATTTATTCAAATTGATACCGATATATTCTTTATATTATTTTCTATTAGAATAAAGTTCTGGTTCATTAATCCTTCCAATTGCTTTACGTCAAAATAAAGCAAATAGTAAAATTAGTCATGGAAAAAATATAAACAATTATCATACAATCCACGTGACTTGGCTTGCATTTTTTTTACACAAGGTATTGAAAATTTGATACGAGCCAATTTTGCATTGTCAAAACATTTTTATCATGTATAGAATGACTGGAATATTTTGGCAATTGAAATGGCATTAAAGTTTCTAAATTATTACAAATATTTGAAATAATAATTTTAAATACTTGTAATATTAAAAGAAATCTAATTACAGCTCATATGATTCTTAGATTTCTTAATTATTCAGTCATAAAAGACTTTTTTAATAGAAAAAATGTTATATCTAGTCAGAATGATCCATCAGTCCATCAATGGTTATTCCAAGATTGATGTAAGATGGAATTCTTTTTTATTATAAATAAAAATATAATTCTCTTACAAAAATATGCAGAATATTTTCTATGGTAAAACACTATAAAATGTTTTCCATGTGTTAAATAGCTTTTATTACAAATTACTTAAAATCAACAAATGTAAGGAAAACCCACAAATATATTGTTTTGGAGATATACACGTACGATAAGCTCATTACAAATCAACATTCAAAACTTAAATTGTAATTTAAAACTAGTCTTTAGCTATGACTTAAGCTCAGTGTTTCAAATACTCAATAGTAATTAATAATAGATGGTCACAAATCTAAAAAGGCAAGACTAGATAATAAACTATTTAGACTAAACTTTATTTCTCAGTTAACAGAAATCCTATTGAGAATAAGATCCAATATTGTGATCTTATAGTTAATTTATTATATCATTTATTACATGCTTAATGTTGTCGATAGCTTCTTAGAAACTGCGACATTAAGCAAAATCAATTTTATTACAGGCTATATAATAATTAATTGGATTACATTTGCAAACTTCAGCATTTATTTTTCACTTCTTAAAATCAGTTTTGTCATTTATAAAGGAAATTCAATGAAATAATTGTAAATGGTTACAAATGTATTTGTATATTTCGTTGATGATACAATGAAATATTAAGTGAAGACTAGCCATGGTTCAAAAAACATTTAATAATTATATAATTAAAAGTTTAAGTTGTTTCCAGTAAATTATTACTAATAAAAGGACTATCCGGTATATTACTTCTAGTTTCTTAAATGTGATTAACGAGTGTTGCACACCATCCAATTTTGCTCATGTCCAGATACTAGTTTTTATGTATATTGTAAGTAAAGATGTGATTCTAGAATAAAAGCTTTGAAGTTTTCAAATGTTTTAGAATAATTAGTATAATTATTTTCTTAATATATTGTAGAATTTATTGTTATACTAAAAAATGTTTAATAATTTTTTTTTCTAAATAAACGTAATAATTACTTCAAATGTATTTTTTATCTTTTACAAAATTGAGTCCAAAGAGAAAATGTTTATTTAGTAGTCATTGTGTGAATAAATAATTGTTTGTATGACATCACAGTTTAGAAATAATGAATGTAAAAGATGAATATTTTTAAAAAAGTAGAAATATTGAACATATCTGACATTAAACCAATGTATTTAGAAGATTTTGTGTTAAATTTGTATAAAATTTTTTTTTTTTTTGAAAAGTGTAAATGTTTGTTTTCCACAATAAAATACTACTTTTGTGAATTCTTGTGTATTTAAAATAGTTTGTTTTCCATGAATTATGGTTAAATATGGCATAATTCCATAAAAATTGTTTTGTACACACACACAGGTCTCTCTCACTCATTACTTCTGTTTAAACATGTCACATTAGACTTATAGAAAAATAAAATATTCAATGTTTTTGACTGCAGTACCTTATCTGAAAATACAAAATCTCAAAAATGTCAGATACAATGAAGTGCCAGAATTAAATTGCTGTTTCATAGCAAATGACAGGATGTTTCTTAAATTGATGTGCAGATGCTGTCTATTTTCAGAGATTTTTATTATTAATCTGCTTTGCACTTTATGCAATGAAAACATGTCAGGGTTAGACCACCAAGGACAATTGACTAGAATCCCTAGTTTGTAATGTGTGTTTATTGCAAAGTGTAAAGTATCAAAAAATGTAATACTAAAATTCATCACTGGAAATATCATACCAAATTTGGTTGCATTTATAGTCAAATCTTTAGATGGCATTGAATAGGGGTACTTTACTTACAACAATCTGGTGTATTATATTATTTTTTATTTCTTACTTAACCAAACAGAAATGCTTGAAGTATTAAGTGCATGTTCTTCAAATGATTTGATTGATGAGCAAAGACATCCCATTTGAATTTCCAACAGCATATATATATACTAGTTCTCGGTTGTGGGAGTTCGCAAGGATCACATTTGAGAATTTTTAGTATTGAACAGTTAACACAAATTCTTGGGAATGAACTTCTTAAAATCAAATTGGGAATATAAAACTAATTTTACTATATAAAGGAAAATAACTATGACATTTCTGATATATATGGATGTCTGATAAGTCAATATACAACAGCTAGTATTAATTCAAAATATTATTATTTAACCAAACGTCCACCTTATTTACTGGTACATGCATTATTTTTCTACATAATTGCTGCCATTGTCCAAACACTTAAGTCTGGGTACCAGCTTTGCATCCCAGTTGTAGAATTCTACCACTTGCACCAGAACTATATTTCAACTTCATTGTGGAAGTGTTGTCCTGCAAGATGTTTCTTCATATAAACAAGTGGAAGTTGCTGGGAGCAAGGACAAATCAACTGTTGTCAATGTATGCACTTGTCTATAAAGTAAATATACATAGTGTTTATGGCCTCATAATCCAATGGTACTAAAAACCTGTTCAAAATAGAAACCTGCCAAAACAGAAAAAGTTTGGTATGATGTGATTCTGGCTTATACAGGTTTTACTGTATTTAGGAAAGTTTGGTCTTGTGTGTATCATCATGCAAATTTGGAAAACACATGAGGTTTTAAGCTAGGAAACCTGAAACAAAAACAGTGCATTTAAAAAATTTTGATGATGACATTTTCATTCCCTAATTGCTGATTTTTTAAATGAGTTAGAGAATAGACTTTGATGATGATAATGTCACTATTAACTTTTCCTTTAACTTAATAATACTGTCATCAGTTGAATTGCAGCTGAATAGAACAAATACTACTAAAAGATAACAATTGTCGTATATTTATAATTTAGGCCTGCCATATATGAAATATTATTTGTACTGAAAATTTTATTGGTAATTACATTAAGTATTTTAGCCACTATTTGATCTCTCTTCTTTATGCTTCATAAACTAGAATTATATTTAATTATTAGGCAGTTGAGACATGATGTATATGAATTTTAATGTAATCAATCAATCAATCTTACTTATATATTTTACAGGACTATTTTTTAAAAAATCATTACAGACTTATGTACAGAATAAAACTAACATCAGAATAATGCTGATGTCCAATTAACATTCATTTTCATAATCTGATGTTATAAAATAATTTACAGTCACTGCAAATATTTTTTGAACAAATTTCATCCATTCACTTCTTGCGTTTTTTGGCAGAAGGACGTTCAAATAATTGTTTCATTCCACCAGCTTGTTGCATGCTAAATTTTGTATTCTGTGTTGTCTCTATTACCCACGGGGAATCAAAGAGAGTGGTGTCTTGATCGGCCAAATGTGTATATTTTGTACGACCAGAACGCCCAAAGTTTTTGACCTAAAATATTTCATTAAATTAAAGAAAATTTTTATAAAATGTGTATTTAAATTAATTTCATTTTATATTAAAGTATTAATATATGCATTTACCTGCATAACTTTTGGCAAGATTGTCTTGTTAAAATGATCTTCCAATGTTGGAGCAGAAAAATCTCTCTTGAATATATTTTCCTCCTCATCCTGTAAAAAACAAAAATGTATATTTATTCAAAAACTGAAATAGTATTAATGAAAAGTTTATATTGCATAATGATTAAGTCTATGTAATGTCAGGAAATATTAATTAAAAGTCAAAAGATAACTTTCACCCAAAAATTTTACGTAGATAGATAATCAGGGTTCTTCTGTATATATTAATCCATTTTGCAGAACTGAAAATCAGATAAAATGAACAGCCATGGCCATTTTGAATTAAAAATTACAAATATAAAAGATGGTATCACTAAGGTGTTAATTGCTGTTATACATGATTTATGACTTTTTTGTATCATTTATTATACAGCTAATTAATACAATGGCTTTAAGAATAAAAATGTGTATATTTGTAATTACATTTTAATATGAGTGGTGTGTCTTGCATGGAGTTAAACAATAACATGTAGCAGAAACAAACTGCTTTGTAAAACATTTTTAAAAAAAAATCTTGCTGAAAAAGGAGTTTTATTCGTAATGGTTTCTCTTACTATTACAAATAACTCTTTTTAAAAAAAATATTGTTGAAGTTCTAGCAAAATATTGAATCTTTTTTCATGGACAGTCTTGTTCCAGATGTTCCTTTGCAATTGGTATGAAAAAATATCCTCTTGGTGCCCACAAAAAGTAAAAAAAAAGGAAGGAGTCTTAAAAAGGTCATTTCAGTCACTCAAGATTAATAGTAGTACAGTATATATACACTCAGCAATTTCACAAAAGTTTTTGTAAATTATAAACAGTGTATTCACTTCTGCATTTTCCAAGGTAAATCTCAGTTAATTAGGGTTCTATTGTATATATAAAAATTACACGAATAAAACTAATTGAGGAAGAAAGGAAAACAAACAAAAAAAATTTTGGTAAGACTGTATAACAGAGACGGAAAGAAAAGTAAACAGCATACATAAGAAATTTATTTTCAAAAATTTGACAGATAATGGAGCCCAAAAATCTTCCAATAATGATGATAAATGAGAAAACCAAATCATGCTGTTTTTCCCTAAGATTCATTGTATTTTTATAATTCTACAACAGAAAAAACAAACTAATACTTTAAAATGAATAACTGTGTAATCATTACAAAGTTTTAATATTGGGAATTTAAGTGTTAGTTTTCAAACATATCATCTGAGACAAATTAATGTACACCATTCATTCATTTCTGTATACTACTATAAAAAAATAAAATTTTTCTATGACTGTTTAGAAAATAGTAATTGAATAATACAACAGTTATATAATTCCTAAAAATAAATCATATTTCAATTTGTGTGGAAATTAAATTCTTAAATAAAAGTTCCTCTTACCATGAAAAAGGCACCACGATGATAATATTTTTGTAAAAATTTATATTTTCCTTTTGCAGCTTTATTTGTAATTGTTCTTGGATTGTTTCTCTGTTCAGATCTTCTTTCTTCTTCTGTTAAGTTATGGATCCTTTCAACTTCCATTCTTTCTTTCTCATATCTGAAATAAATATTGAAGTACATATTCAAATTATTATAATTTTAACCAGACAAAATTTTAAATTGTGAAGTTTTTAAAAATAATAGTTATGTTTAAAATATTAACAGACTCTTTTTTGAATGGTTCTTTCAAAATATTTAAGTTCATTGATAATTAAATAATTGAAGTTTAACTATAGTAAAAAAATCACACTTTTACATTGTCATGTATATATACAATACATTTGGTTTTCATCAATATCTATTAGGTTGATCAAAAAATAATAGAAGATATTTTACAACAAAAAATCAATAACCTTTTACTGTTTATTTTCTTGTAAAGTAAATTTTTATTACACTACCCATCAAGTTCTTTTTCATTACAAAGGATCTGCTTTTGATTCCATAAATACAGCACTGTCTCACCACAGAGGATTTCCTTCCTCTACCTGGTCTATTTTCCAGGTTGAAGTTGTTTGCTTGAAACTTCTTAAACCACTTTTGTATTGTTTTAGTTGCAATAGCTACATTGTATCTTGTGAGTTTCAAGAAGTTAATAGTGACATCTTTACATGTGATTTTCTCCATTGTATAGATGTATACTTCAGTTTTTACCATTTGTAGTCTAAGGGTCTTACCAGATGATGATAGTAAATTTTTTATTATGCTAATAATTTGCTTACAAAGCAAATTATGATAAGATGTTTTATAAAACCCAACATAATTAGGTTGATTGGAACTAATTAACATGCTTATTTCACACTTATAATATTCCTGGAATTATTATAAAATTTAAATTCATTGCCTTTTTTGAGAGCTGAAAACTTTGTTTTCAATATTTGTATGTTTTTAACATTATTAATTGAATCATTTTAATCAATTTGATAGATCCCAAATATCAGCACTTCAGATCCATTATTTGTTATTCAGATCCATTATTTTCCACCTTTCATATTGATAAAAAAAATTTAAAAACTAACCTTTCTTTTTCTTCCTTATCTCTCTTAATGCGCTTTAATTCTCTAAGTTTCCAAGATTCGTAAGCGGCTTCATCGTTTTCATCATCAGTAACAACCAAATCTGCAGCTTGATGCAATCCTAATTCTTCAGCAGCTTCTTTTTTGTTTTCTTCTTCAATTATCTAAAGTTATCATAAAAGTTCATAAATTTCAAATATTAACTTTAAAAATTAATTCACTATTAAATTTAAATCATTTGTCACTTTTATAAGTTAAATCAACTAAAACACAAGTAGCCTTCATTAATAGGAAGGTTCACATTAAAAATACACTTTGTTTAAATTAAGACACTAAACATGGCCTCAGTTCTTGTTTTGGGGGTATTGTATGTTTTATACATATATGTGAATATCATCTGCTGTAACTTTGAGAAGTGTCTATTACAATTGAAGATATTTTCCTTTTATTATTCCTTCAGTATTCCAGGAATAGTTCTTATCACTTACAGTGATGTGAATACTGATTAAAAATTTAAATGTATTAATGATTAAAAATTAAATCAGTAATCAGTATTCATATGTTGATTACTGATTTATTTATACAAAAATTAAGGAAAACATTATCTATATATATATATATAAAAATGAATGTATGTGTGTGTCTGTCCTTCATGCATTACCACACCGTTTATCTGATTGCCGTGAAACTTTGGGAAGTTGTTTAATATACTCCCGCAAAGGTTTCTGGCATAGCACATTTATCCTACGATAGATGGCGCGAGTGTATACAAGCATTTTACTGTGTTCGATCGATTTTAAATTGTGAAGACCATTTCTCCCCTCCAAAAATATCTCTATATATGCATTTGTTATTTACGATATTTGTAATAATTTTTGTTTAATCACTTTATTTCAACTTTTTTTTTTTGCTAATTATGTATTTGCTCGAACTTTGTTAAAACCTTAACCGTATCCTGAACAACAACCAAAGTTGTAGAAGGAAATTTGCCTATTTTACCAATCTAGGGATCCCCCCTTTTCCAAATTTTAATATCGACTCAAAATAATTTAAAAAGACAAATTACAATAAAATGGTTTATCCAACTATCAGAAATTTCACAACATGCAAGGAAGAGAGGAAGGAGCAATTAAATAATCAAAATTATAAAGGATTAAAAAATATATATATAAATGGGGAATATCGCACTTCTAACAATCTCTACGAGTATGTGGGCTAAATTTAAAGAATCCGTGCTTCTCGCATGTACAAGTGTATGTGGCCAGCTCATGCGTCAGAAAACCTTCTGATTTTTCGTGTACGCACCAGACGGAAAAACAAAAAATATCGTGTATCCACAAGCACTCCAATAAATAAATAGAATTGAAACGACACTTTGAAATGTTTTCCCAATGAAAATGAATAATAATAATAAGTTTCAATAAAAATGATAAAATGTAAATTTAATTTTATCATAACGAGTCTGCTTGAATTTCGTTTCTTCTGAGATCGCAGCAATGCACAACGGGTAAGCTAGTTAGTTATATATTTCAAAAGCAGAATGTCAGTTCTGTCACAAACTGTTTCACATGGGCTGCAAGATATCAACTGTTCTGATGATTAAATTCAATAATTTTATATGTATAGATCCACGGTTCCCAATTAGTGGTATGCATACCCCTGGGGGTAAGCGAAATTGCATGAAGGGGTATGTGCGGCAATCTAAAATCGGTCGATTTAAAATTTAAATGCATGAGATGAAGCAATCAAAAAAATAATGGATGGATGATCAAAAATTTGGCAATTTACAACATGATGTTGAATGCACAAATTCATTTATTTATAACTAAAAACATTCTCGAAATTTCATCAAAAAAATGCATTTGTGACAATACCTAAATGAAATTCTTACGCAAGAAACAAAAATTGTACAATTAACACAATTTGTTTTTGCGAAATTAATTTTGAAAACTTTTGTCACTGTTGTTTCTTGCGCGCAACAACGTGACTTCTCGCAGAGTATAATGAAACTTCACTGAGTTTAATAATCAGTTGCAACATTTTGCTTATAAATCAGGCTAGAATTTATCATGTTAATGAAGCAACAATAAAATATTTACTATCATTTTGCACAACATATGTCTGCGAGAGCGGATTTTCGGGCATGACAAAGGTGAAAACTAAACATTGTCACTGACTTCAACTTGAACACGACTCGAGACTGAAGCTGACCAGAAAGCAACCAGATTTTACAAAGTTGTGCAAAGAAAATCGTGCACATTTGTCACATTAAAATTAAATAATCTTATGTTATTTTCATTATTATTAGAATTGTATTTTAAAGGTAATAAATGTAAAAAAAACTTATTATATTTATCACTAGCTGTCTACCCACAGCTCCGCCTGCATTATATCGAATTTTCTCGTGGGAGTAAGATATTTTCTTGCAGTAAAATGTAGCCTATGTCCATCTCCAACATGTAAGCTATCTCTGTGCCAAATTTTATTGAAACCTGTTCAGCAGTTTAGACATGAAAAGGTGACAGACAGACAGAATTACCTTCAAATTTATAATATTAGTATGGATTAATATGAATTTCTGCTATATGGGGTACGCGAGTTTGAGCTCTTTCTTGAAGTGGTACGCAGAAAAAACTAATTGGGAACCACTAGTATAGATGATTTTAAAAAAGATATTTTACAAAGTACTATTTTAGACAGTTTGGGTCAATTTAATTAATTTAAACCTAACTAACTTTTAAATAGTAAATTAAATAATTTTTAGCATAGTGTACATATTCATTTATATTAAGTGGGAAAATGCAGATTCTGTCACAAAAGATCATAGGAATTAATAATTCTTGTTGCACAATGTGTAAAATTGTACAATCTGACTTAACCCTTTGCCACCGCCATCTTGTTTACGTTAATTTTGTCAACTGTCCAAAGGCAATATTATTTTAAAAATTCACCAAAAATCAAGTTATCATTATATTCGTATGAAAAAAATTACGTACATTTATTAATATCTTTAGTTTGAAATACGATATTTTTCAATACATT